TTACAGGAGACAGGTGTTCACTAGAGACGAGGGCAATGTGTTCACTAAGACAGTTTTTTTTCTCAAATTGTTATCTCTTATTCTTTTCCTTTGTTAGATAGAACTTTTTTAAACTGCCCATGAAATATTACAGAAATAGATATTTCTGTATTATCTATGATTCAAGCATTTGCAATTTTGACAAAATCATTTGTTACCAAGTTGAGAAACATTAGTTTCATTTTTGGGTGAGTTCCCAAATGGTCTATAATGCTAAATGCCAAAATTCATAACTACTGACTTATCCATTTTTCTGCAATAAAATCTAAATAAATCACCATTTTATGTCTTTATGATTCAAAGATATCTATTGCTCACAGGCTCTTAGCAAGTAATAGGCCGCTGAGAAAATACCAAAATGAGATTATTAGATTACGTAAAAGTCAATTTTGTTTATAGATCAGGAAATTTGAGGTGACATCTGTATATTTTTTTATTAGGTGTACAGTAAAACCTGTCTAATCTGAACCAAACTGGAACCAGACAAGAGTGTTCAGATTAGCAGGTGTTCACATTTTAAACATGTGAGTCAATGGGAGATGACAAATTTTGGACCAAGAAGCAGTTTTTACATTGAGAGGTGTTCAAATTAGAGAGGTGTTGAGATATACAGGTTTCATTGTACATATGGTTTATCAGTTTAGATTGAGATTTGGCTAACATGTTTATCTGATTCTGGTAATATAAAACTTAATGCTGTCTTGTTTTACCAAAGTTTTACGTAATATGTTACGGAGAAAATGGATGGTTGATACAATGTTGATGTGTTACAGATGAAAAACTTGAAATTCTCATCCTGTTTCTAGCGCATTGATAATACAACCAATTGCCTATTCACCTGTTACCTATTTGCCTGTTAGTTGTACATTTGTTGCCTATTTTCCTGTTAGTTGTACATTTGTTGCCTATTTTCCTGTTAGTTGTACATTTGTTGCCTATTTTCCTGTTTTCTTTCCTTACTGTGCACTTTAGATGATATGCTGAAATATTTTGGTATTTTTGCAGGAAATTCCAGTAAATGCTAGGTTTCTATAGTTCAAGGGTACTCAGTAGATTGTTAAGGAACCCTATACAAAAGTAACAACATGGTTTTGTACAATTGGTGAAAACCTAAGAAAATTAGAGGAATTTACTGGGGAAAAAATGAGCTACATTTCATACTTGATTTGCAAAAGTCACAAAAGGCAATGTTCACGAAATTCATTCAGGGAAGTAAATCAAATGAAAGTGTTTCCTGAGGTTTATATCAGGGAAATGTTATTTAAGAAGTTGTGAGGTACTTCAAATGTTATTCCTTTGTTTTATTGCAAATTATAGCGCTTTAGAGATACGCATCAGTGATTTGGTAGTTACCAAGAATTTGGGTGTGAGGTGATGTTGGATGTCGATGGGCATAACTTTACACACGCTTTAGAAATTAATTAAGGAGTAATTCTGGGGATGTATACAAGGTAATCGTAAATTAGCTTTACCATCACTGTACTGTGACTATTTTTAACTGAATGTAAGTTACGGAAGTAACTTTTGTGCTTGATTATCTTCAATGAGATCACTGCCAGTAAATAAAAACGTGATGTTGCTCATGTTTTTGAAATGAGAAACAGATCGCAAAGAGCAAAATCAACAAGGAATAAAATACAAAATCATGTAGTGAACACTCTAAATGATATACTGCATAGACACTCTCTAAATTATATACTGCATAGAAATGCAAGAAAATCTGTGCTTATAATAGAATATTGTAGATGAAACAAATGACCTTTTACTGCCGTATAAGCTGCTATGATTTCATTTACGATCAAGAGTCTGATCTAGAGATTCACGTTTTCCATATATATAGATTAAGAACATTGTATTAATGTCTACAAGTCACCCAAAACACAAATTGGAATATACTGAAGGAGATTACAAATTGCAGAAGCTAGGGGCTCTATGGATACATACTGTATTGTCTAAGAATATTGTGATATATTTGGATGTACAAGTCAGAAATTGTAATAGTTGAATTGACAGAAGAGCAGCTTACGAGGAAGGACCTGGAATAGCAAGGAATTTTAAAGGAATTTGAGAAACATACTGAGGATACATTTGCTCTATTTATAGTTCTATGTATTTCAATAATGGTGACCTTGTTCTACTAATAAAGGGGTTACCCTTACTGTTAATGCCAACTGGCAAAACAAAATAAAACAACAGGCAAACAACAAACAATCCTGGTACAATCAACAGAGATAACCTATTATTGTCTGCTCTATGAAATTCCAGTAGAAGTTTGGATAATTAATGAGTTGGCTCAGTGGTGAAATATTTGTGTATGATAGTTCTATAAATAGTTGTTGTGAAAGATGTGGACCTGGGCCTACCTTTACCCATCTCAAACTGAACATGATAGAGAGAAGTACTCCCCTGGCCCTGGTGGGGACTGTTCACCTAAGTTACATGTAGGTATAGTTACATGTAGGTACATGTAAATTTTTTTTCAATTTTTTTTTGAGCGGGACATACAATTTATATGTCCCGGAGCTCCGTTGGAGCGGGACATACGAAAAATATTTGCCCGGATATGGAATATATTCCCGGTTGATATGTCCCTGAAACCTCATCAGGTATGGAATACATATTATTTACATGGTGGTTACATTGTTTGTATGCAAGTTCATTAGTTCCATATCAGTAACTATGTAATATATAATTAACTATATAATTAAGTTTTATATAACAAGTTGAATATAATTTCATAAGCTAAGCTATAGGTTACAACATACAGGTACAGAAGCTACCTGTATGTATATAACTTATATATTATGAGCATATATGACCCCGCCCCCATTTACTTCTTTCCTTGTGGGAGAGGGCCATTTCAATCCTATAAGTATATATAAGTGTTCATAAGTACCATATGCATTCTTACATAAGATAAAGGTATATAATATAGTTACACAACAAGTGAAAAAGTCAATTGAAGTTCAAGATTTGTGTCATATTCCCAAGTTGATGAAGAGAGAATGGAACTCATTAACTTGGTGCAGGACTATCCTTTTGGTGAATAAACAGGAATGATAGAATTATCTCAAATATTATATGCATTTTCCCAAGAGGTTTCATACATTTTCTTTGATTAATCACCCATGATAAATCTTATTGTGCCTTCAAAAAATGTTGATGGGCATGTTTTTATAATCCTAAAAGAGTGGAAAAGGAGTGACATCAGCAAGAAATAAAATAAACAGGCATGTAGTTGATATTCTAAATTGTATAGAAATATTAGAAAATCAGACACTTTATTCAAATTTTAGAGAGAAATTGATGGAATTGGCAATAGCAGACGGAATTTTACTTTGGGTTTTTGATGAATCGTTTATGTTATTGTCACTTGTTGCATTGAGAAAACATTGTAAGTGAAGAAATCATATCTTGATAATATTGACATTGGGGAATTAAAAATTGCTGCTTCATTGGCTAATATACATGTAGTGATAATATCTCCTTATAGATAAAAATGATATCTTACAGGTTCATAGAATAACTTCAGTATATTTTGCTATTATGGTGAAAGCTTTTTTTCAAGTGATGAATTCTGTCCGTCATAAATGTTTGAACTGTTGGCATTTTGTTAAATATTAAATAGTTTGAGAATACAGACAAAAAATGAAATAAGTAACTGGTGAAACTACATAAAATTTTAACTTGAAAACTGTTTTGAAATTACTAAAAACAGCTGGCAGTAGCTTTATAATCAGAGGAAATCAGCTCTTGCCTAAGCGCTAATGAAACACAGGAATTATGTTAAAATTTAATATTTTCAGGCTATGGATGATCCTCCCACTTATATCAGCAATACCTGAACATTGTCTATATATGATTAAACTAACATGCATATTCACATCTATTAACTTATTGGGATTATTTATATGAAAAATATGAAGGACCCATTTCCCTCCTGCAGCGATGGATTTGAAATTTAAAAATTATTTTTGCATTTTTAGTGTATGAGGAGGATGTATGTTCTGTTTATCAGAAAAATGGTCCATACTCATGCTCCTAATATATGTATAAAATCATGCACCTTCAGATAACTTTTTAATCAGCTCTACAGGATGGTCTACCCAACCTTTACTGAACCAATTGATACATTGCTTACATTGCATGGTCAATTCATGGTCTAATCTATTGAAATAAATATCTGTTTGTTACATTTTAGCGCTACAGATCTGTTTGTTATATTTTATAAGGATGATCTCCCACCACCCCCATCTGAACTGATTGACATATTGTCTATGCACAAGCCCACATGTAATGATCTAACCTATTGAAATAAATATCTGTTTGTTACATTTTAGCGCTACAGATATGAGGATGAGCTCCCACCACCCCCACCTGAACTGATCGACATATTGTCTATGCACAAGCCCACATGTAATGATCTAACCTATTGAAATAAATATCTGTTTGTTACATTTTAGCGCTACAGATATGAGGATGAGCTCCCACCACCCCCACCTGAACTGATAGACATATTGTCTATATGCACAAGCCCACATGTAATGATCTAACCTATTGAAATAAATATCTGTTTGTTACATTTTAGCGCTACAGATATGAGGATGAGCTCCCACCACCCCCACCTGAACTGATCGACATATTGTCTATGCACAAGCCCACATGTAATGATCTAACCTATTGAAATAAATATCTGTTTGTTACATTTTAGCGCTACAGATATGAGGATGAGCTCCCACCACCCCCACCTGAACTGATAGACATATTGTCTATATGCACAAGCCCACATGTAATGATCTAACCTATTGAAGTAAAATATCTGTTTGCTATATTTTAGCGCTACAGATATGAGGATGAGCTCCCACCACCCCCACCTGAACTGATCGACATATTGTCTATGCACAAGCCCACATGTAATGATCTAATCTATTGAAGTAAAATATCTGTTTGTTATATTTTAGCGCTACAGATATGAGGATGAGCTCCCACCACCCCCACCTGAACTGATGGATAAGAAGGCACAAGAAAATAAATCACAGAAAACAACCACCACAGTCACTACAACAAAACAGGTTTGTTTGTTTGTTTGTTTGTTTTATATGTTGCTTGTTTAATCTCCACAAACAAAATAACTCTGTTTTTATATTTTATTTTTTGTTTGTACAATCATGTGGGTCTCCACAAAGTGTGTTTCTTTGTTTTTGGCTTGTGTTGGCTCTTGCAAAAGTTTCTTTGGTTGTCTGTGGATGTTTATTGATGCTATAATCAAACATTCTTATATCAAACTCAACCATTTTTTGCTTTACTTCATTATCAATCATATTATTCTATACTCATTCATATTTACACCATACTCAACCATATTTGTGCCAAACTCAACCATATTTATTCCATACTCAACCATATTTATACCATACTCAACCATATTTATTCCATACTCATCCATATTTAAACCTTATTCAACCATATTTATTCCATACTCTACCATATTTATTCCATACTCAGCCATATTCATGCCATACTAACCACCAAACTCAACCATATTTATCTCAGGTTACTCAACCAGTGAAGACACAGCAGCCCACAGTTGCAAAAGAGCCAAGCCCTGCACGACAAGTACCACCCCCAACAAAAGTTATTGTACCCAGAACACCTCCAGGTGTACAGAAGTCACAGGTAATCATCATTAACGAATATTAAAATGGTATTATACTGAGCTGAAGATGAGATTTGAAGTATTATTTAATTTAACAGCATGTTTTTCATCATGTTGAAAGGATACAATATTATCATCTGTTCGATCAACAGGTTGGCAGCACTGTCTCTCCCCTTTCTTGTTTGCATATTTCAATTTCAGAATTTTAGATCAACCTTTCAATAGGTTCTCATTTGAAACATTGAAGTGAATTTGTGTTGAGTTTGTGAATATAGATGGCAGCTATGTAAATGGTAGCTTTGTTAAATGATGGAGTATGTTACATTATTAAATGATTTTCATTGTGGGAGTCATGTCTTCAAATGAAAAATAGCATAAATACAAAGAAATTAACAAGAAATAAAGTAAACAAGCATTTATTATAAGCACTTCGAATTGTTTAGAGAAATAAGAATAGCCCACATATACCATTCAAGTTTTTTGAAAAATTTAGTCCCCGTGACCATCCCCTACGTAACTTAAGGTAGAGCATGGGCTTTCAACTCTAATTGAAAGCCCATGGGTAGAGCAAATGGGAGTTCAGAGATTTAATATAATAATAAGAGGGAAAACCCCAGAGCTTAGGAGATGACAGACATAATTACGTCTCTTGCTTACCACCTTTAGAATTTTCACCTGTTATTTTCTGAATACCACACTTCGTTATGATGTTTTATAGATGTAAGCATATTCCGTACACCTTTCTTTATCTTATGTGAAATAAGAAGCTATGATATTGGTTAACACGCCAGAAATGAACATAATATTATTCAAAGTATTTTTAGAAAATTTTGAAACCTCCATTGAATGACGTCATTTGTCTGTAGATTTGACCAATCAGCGACAATATATTCTCATTAAACATTTACATTATAGGCATATGTCTTCACTGAACCCTGGGGTTTTCTCCCTCTTATGTAAGACTACTAAAAATAAAGAAGGGTTATACAAAACTAACGGAATCATAATATAAATGCATATTATTATTTAGCTGATATGAATTCAATAACCCTACCCCCTAACTCAATGAAAAAGATGCTCATCAAAGAAAATATTTAATGCACACTGATACTGATAAATCCTGATGAATCGAATGAAAGTTATTTTTGATTCTGATGAGGTCGTTGTTTGGGAATTACTGTTTAAGTAATTCTTTCTCGTAGTAAAGTTCAAATAGAATCATGACTTCCATTTGTCTCTAAATAATGCATAAGCGGCTTTTAGATATTCCTTTGGTATTTAAACAGTCTCTTTTATCTAATCAAAATCATTCTGATATATGGCTTCCCGTTAAGTTTATATGCAGAAATGGTGATATTTCTTTCAGTCTCTCTCAAGTGATGAAGACTTCAAACATTATTCATGTTTTTATAGCACGTGTTTGGTTATGTGTCTCTGTACAATATTTCTCGATGTTTTTTTTTTATTTGTGTGATTTTTAGGAGAGTATGACATTGGTGATATTTTATGGATGGGCTATTGTCTGCCTTTGTACTGAATATTATAAAAATGTTTGGCTGGAGGACAGAATTTGGGATTTTGTAAAAAATGATTTCCATATTCGTAATTTTTGGTGGACGTTTTAGGATGTTATGTCTTCGTGCTTTAGGAAATGTCTGGGTATGTATAGAACAATGACACAGTTGACAATACAGTAAGATATGGAAAATGTTAAGTTATTTTTCTAACTTAAGGATTGTACTTTTTTTAACAAAAAATTCAACAAATGACATCGATATCTTCGTTTGAAATCAGTATTCGATGGTTTAGTTAAGTGTGCCAAATGTACAATATTTTTCCACCGTTTACAAAAATATTGTTTTTATTTTGACATGGTATCCTATTAATATCTCAGTTTGCATGGATTTCAATCATAATCTTGCATCGAAAGGGAATTTGAGAGAGGGGGCTACGTACAATTTATACGTACAAAGAGACTAATGTTTTGATAGTCTTATATAATTTGAAAATTCAATTTTGATAGTATATACACTGTAATCTTATATAATTTTTTAAAAATTCAATTTTGGTCAGTCAGTAGTACTGAACAAGGTGTCAACAATTTTTGTCAAATTAGACTAACTTGAAGAATGATAGTCTATGGGGCATGGATATAAGACAATTAGATGTATAATCTCTTTATATATGGGCTCAGGGGGAACATTACCTTAGTCCACATTGGTAATGTTCAATTAACGAAATATAATTGGTTTATTTTCTATATTCCCATAATGTACCTTATGGCAGTAGAATACTGATACATAAAGCTCATTTTATTTCATGCTTATTTCACTCAATTCTCGCTAAAATTTGAATGAGGTGCCTGATTTTCTTAGATGTATATAGAATTTAGAGTGTCGACCACATGTCTTTATTTTTTTCCATGTTGGTCAACTCTTAAAGACTTTATTTTGCATTACAAAATGTGACAATTATGATTTCTTTTGAGTATATGTTCGCAGTCTACCTACAAACCCTATACACCATCCTAAAAGTGTGACGTGTTGGTGATGTAGATGAGGAGGGGGGTTAGTTCATAGTCTTGAAGTAAGACTAGTATTCTCAATTTACTTGATATTGTAAATTGAAACTTAGCACATGCCACAAAGGAAATTGTATCGAGAATTACAGCTAATCAATTATCAAGCTCTAGGCACCAGAAGCACATCAACTTCATGAAAAATTAGGAGGAAAAGTCTCCAAAACCCTATCAAGCTCATGAAAAATTAGAAGGAAATGGTGCCAAAATACCACCAGGTTCATGAAAAATTAGGAGGAAAGGTGCCAAAAGCCCCATGAAATTCATGAAAATTGTTAATAAGAGGTAAAAAACAGAGATGAACATTTTTACCACTTGTTTCCATTGTAAATATTTAATTTACAATATTAAGTCTATGCTGGCCAAAGCTATTTGTAGATTTTCAGCTGGTGACCGGCTATTTTGATGAAAAATTAAGCAAAATTACATGTCTTCATATCAGCATAACATGGACTATATCAGCACCCTCTGTGCTATGTTTTATGCCATTGTGAAGCCAATGACAATATATTTCAATTGCACCCAACCATGGTCCCCAAGCAGCCCCTACAATATTTGGTAAGATGATTGATACAAATCATGTGACAATTATTTGAGAGCATCCCGAGATATCTCGGGGTTGGTCAGATATGATTATGACGTCATTGATGAAATATCTCGGGGATGGTCAGCAATGAGTTAAAAAGCCTCGGTCTCTTCTGTCCTCATTGTATGCACATTCTATTTGCATCTTTTATATTAAGACAGTTACAAAGTGGTATTGACACTGTCTACTCTTTCACCGCCATTTAAGAGAAGGACTGATAAATGAACTGTCCGAAGTGAAACTGCAACAGAATATGATAAAATAGAAATGATAAAATAGTATACGTTGTGCCTGATTATCAGGGAAAAAAGGTTGGGACGATTCAATATTTATCATGTTGAAAATGTGGTTTGATGGGAACTTAATCCCGATTTTGATCCACGCCAGAGTTCAGGATATTAAACTATGCTATGAGCACATGTAACGAATACAAAGTAACTCCGGAAATTAGATAAATCCATTATTAGAACTAACTCCAATAGCATCAAGACCCCTTGGCATAAACATCAATTAGACTATCAATATTAATCTAAAATATCTCCGAAGTATGAGTTTTTTTCTGAGAACGAACACACACAAATGTAGCCCATAACCTAAATTATAAAAAATTGTAAAAATATTCACATCCTCTTTCAATATTTATTGAAATAACTGCAAAAATCAAAAAAATCATGTTCATGTCCGTCTGCTAGGTCATATCTTGAGGGATCATTGTAAGTGAAGATTCATGTGATGATTAATTTGTCCCATATAAGATTTCTTAGAGGACATAGGGAATTGTAAGATGTTGTATCTGATTTACATCTAATTATTGTTGTTTGGTACCCTGTTGACCAGACACTATAATCAATAAATAGCATCTGACAAGAATAGATAATGTTACAGTTTTGGTACTGATTATCAGTCTTAGTTGATATTCCTAATCTGATTGGAAAAGGCTAGGTAAAACATTGTCTCTTGTTTAAAGAGTGTAGATGAAGCAGAGTCAAGCTATTAAAAGGGTAGCTTGGAGAGAATACATTCAGAGCATTGTTATTACAATAAAACTTGTCTTAATGAACACATCGCTCTCGTAAACACCTGTCTCTAGTAAACACCCTTCCTCCCCATATACTCTACTGACTTCTATATAAATTACCATCTCTGAAGTGAACACCTAGCAACACTGTACTAAAATCAAGCTACCAAATCAAAATAGCTGAATTTTCTGCCTTCATAGGTACCCTGGCATTTAAGGGTGCTGGTGTGTGGGGGGGGGTATTCCATCTTACCAGCATCAAAATCATGTTTGTCCTTTGCAGATTATAGTTTTTACCCCAGGGTTTTGACTAGACTCTGTACATCAGGGTAATGTTAAGTAGATACTGAAATAAAACTTCATATAGGTAGATTAATACATATCCCATAAAATAAATGGGAGATCTAGAAAAGCTCTGAGAAAATATTTTTTGTGCTCAACTTAACAGGTTTTACTGTAATATAAAATATTCCCGTTCTGATTAAACCAGAGTGCTTCCCCATCTAACACTCTCTCCTAGAGATGACTTTGGAAAACTACAATGAAATATTCACATTGTTGCATAATTAACCAATGCTTTAGTATCAGCCCATATAACACCAGGGCTGGTAAAACTAGTGTTAACTTCTTTATGCCATAAACATAGTGCTAAAATATTTGACAGGTATTTAAATATTTTATGAAGTTCAACATCAAAAGTTGTATTAACTTAAAGGTTGTATGTACATCACTTTTCATTTATGATGTTTAACCTTTAGCATGCTGCCGGCGGACTCGTCCGCCGAGACCAAAATGTCTCTCACAACTGCCGGCGGACCCGTACGCCCGATTTCAAACT